TCAAAACATTAACAAATTGACGTGGATGGATAAATTAAAATATTTGAAGAATATTGCATCGCATCTGTACGGTATTCATGATATGGGATTAGTACATTGCGATCTTCACGGCGGAAACATCGTTTTGAACAACACAAATTATCCACTGATATGCGATCTTGGTTTGTCTCGATCAGTGAATTCACGCGAGTCAGCCATTCGAGGCGTCTTACCTTTTATTGCACCGGAAGTCTTTCATACCTGCAAGTTTACAAAGAAATCAGACATATATTCTTTTGGTATCATTATGTATTTGGTTGCAACTGGTGAACCGCCTTTTAGAAATCGGCAATTCGACAGAAATTTAATATGTAACATTATGGACGGACTACGACCATCGATGCCTGATTCCGCACCAGAGGAATACAAGAAACTTGCCGAGCGGTGTTGTGATGCTGATCCTGATAAGCGTCCTGATGCATATACATTTGAGGGGGATATTCACAGGCTTATTAGAAAGGTTAACAAGGACAATTCTGACGACAACACGTGGAACGCCGTTTATCATAACGATGTAAAACCATTGTCACGTCTCGAGAAGGAGAGTAAATATTCTAGCACGCTTTTGCCTACTGGGCGTCTGCCCAAACCAAGAAATTATTCGTATCAGTTACCTCCCTTATCGGATTTGAGCTTGTCGGATGTTGACGAGGAGTAAGAGATGTAGTTCGGATTAGAAAGACAAAATTAGTTCTGTTCGTATAAATTATTAAAGCCAATCTACAATATTAGTTATAGCGACCCAACATCCTTTCAATAAACATATAATTCGAAATTTTATTCCTCTTCCGTTTAAATAAATTAAAATGTTGGGGCTGAGTTAAAAAAATACTGAAATAAAATCGTGCGCGTCTCCTACTAGCTATCTTTGCCGGCGGCGTAGATCATTTGAATATGTACACTCACCTAGCAAAATTATTTCCGGAAATAATTTTTCTAGGTGAGTGTAATAATACAAGCACATCTCTATGAAAATAGTAAAGAGTTCTATGCTGATCGTTCCTGGATAAAAAATGGTTACATTCGAGCTCCAGTGACACCGCTTTCAATTCTTGTTCAAATTTTATTCCGTTTTGACATTGATACAATGCTGTTTGTAGCCTTGATAGATACAATGGCCGTTTCATGACTATTGCAATAATCCTACTAGTCCATCGCGAAAGAACAGGCGGTAAGAAGTTAACCGATGCTGGACCCCGTTAACGATAAAAGGCAGATTCCATACCTGTCCGGTCTTGCAAACACCACGGGAGTATGAATAATCGATCTACCGAAATAAATTGCGCACGCGAATGTGTCAACCATAGATGCCGATATCATATCGACTGTGCGAAATAGTTTTGGTCCGCTTCACCGTTCCTCTGGCCAAGAGTCTGAACAAATCTATCCAGGTGTAACATCCATGCATCATTGGTTGTGGGCCGAGACCCTTTCAATGATGTGTTCTATATCGCGCGGATCGAGGAAGTATTCCGACCTGCAAACTTTCCCAAGTCTGCTCGTTTTGCCTGAATAAATCGGATATTTCCCATAATAAGTAACGCTGTAAACATATTGATGAATTGCTTTAAGCATTCGGGGCAAGAAATCTGTCCTTACTAGTTGACGGCAAGCGAACGTGTCATTATGTAATTGCACTCTCAAATGCTCAGGTTTGTTTAAATTATTCAGCTGGAAATAGAAACTTTACTTGACTTCGTTCATGTGACCAAACACAATGATAGTATTTTATATGGAACATATTGTAACAAATACATCTTTATTACTATCAATAGTTTAATAAACCTGCTGTTTAATACTCAATATAAATATTCAAATTTCCAAGATTAATCGTCTTAATATTAATATAAAGTTTTCATAACTTGTTTCAGCAAATGTAATTTACTATTACTATCCAATTTACAACTCTTGTAATTTGTGTAAATATTAATATATTTTCTTAACACATTATTAGGCATATACACGTATGAAGGAAGAGTATACAATTGTTCAAGGAAATTTTGAGTATAGTTATCGTGATTATTATATCTCGGTTATATGTAATTAATTTTTTTTTACTTTACGACACCGTCTCGGATGTATAACAGCCACAGTCTTATATATATATATGTGCTTATCCTCTGATCATGTGGAAGCATCAAATTCAGATACTAAAACGCTCGTTTTTGATAATCTTGGCCTCCCCATATCTTTTCTTTTTTCGATGTGAAATGGCACAACAATGTTAGGATTTGTGGAAATCAGAAGTAATATTTTTTGCAGATAAATGACTCAAAAAGTCAAAGTTATTTTCAGGTTTATTGCATTTTTCTTCGATTAATGGAATACTCATACCATCTATTACGATTTTATCACGGTGTTCATAGGTTTTGGGAGAAAACCCAAAGATAATTTTTGCTTCACGCATCCATAACCATTCTTGTCCCAGCACCAAATCGAACGACGGATTTTTGCGAATTTGAAAGTCTAAGCTTCGCCACTTTCCTTTATTATTATTATTATTATTATTATAGTAAAACTGTAAATCTAAGCATTTTATTTTTCACATATCACATCTTCATCGGGTATATCTTTTAACCCGTAATATTCTTCAAGCTTATTAAACAAACACCTGCTAATAATATTGGATTTAGATGTTGTATCAATTAACGCTTTAGCTGGGATTTTTCCTTCTACGAGCGTTTCTATGAAAATCATGTCAAATATTGTTTAATAATGTATACTATAACCGAAAAAATAACTCGGTAAGTAATTACCCATGATGAATAATTAGTAATAATCCCGCCAGTCTCTCTGATACAATTATTGATTATGGAAATAAGATCTGCTCTATCTATTGATGGACCTGCAAAGACTGAAATATGTAGAAGTGGATGAGAACTGACCATTTATCATCTGAATAATCATGATATTTGATTTTAATTTTAGGATTAAGTTTTTCATCACTTCTTCGTTAATCCCTTTACATCCATTCAAACTAAGATATTTCAAATTAGTACAGTTGCGGACTATTTTCTCGATAGTTTTATTACCAATCGAACAATTACCAAGCTCAAAATGTCCAAGTTTTGGGCATAAACGCGTTATGGTTTCCAATTCCCCGTTTTTCTTAATCATGTTTCAGTGATACATCGATTAGTAAGACATTTACATGAATTAAGACTCAGGTGCTGTAGTTTTGGAGAAACTCTAGCAATTTTTATAATTGGTATATTAGTGAAACCCTTACATTATCAAGAATGAGAAAGCATATATTCGGACATGAATGCAAAATTGTACTGATTAATGCATGATTTTTGAACCTTCTAACCTGAGATATACCATCTTTGAACAATAGAGTGGCTTTATTTTCTACGCATAACTCTTTAAAGTTTATCAATCGCCGAGTAAGAACCCGAGACATATTTAAGGCACGCCGGCTCTACTGATAATCTTTGTTGAAAAACTCAGCGCGACACCATAGAATAGGAGCAACGCAGTGATACTAAAGGTGGTTAACAAATAAAGCAGAATAGAGGGATCGATTGATTCTAAAAAATATAAGATCTGTTCTAGCAATTCTGGTAAATCAAAAATATTTAGTTGCGCCATCCTCATTATATATCTTTAATCGGAAAAAACAACCAATGTTCGGATAATTAATTTAGGCGTATTTTTAAATTAGTATTAATAAAATAATTTAACATTTACAATGACCGAAGCTAATAAAGCCGTATCCTATATCACGTAAACAGGTGTCGGGTAAAAGAATCTGGATCTCTCTTCACCGATTACTGGAGATAGTAAAATCCGAAATTCAGCAAGCTCGATTACAAACCCGGATATTTCACGGAGAAATCGTACACCATCTGAGGCTAAAAGAAATGCAAAGTTAGAAAAAAATTTTAATTTTTAAAGATACCGCATCTGAGTCCTCATCCTCGTCTTCGTTTGAATCTGGGTCTGGGTCCGACTCTGAATCGTCTAATGATGATAAAGATTTTACTGTGGGTATGGTAAAAGTGAAGAAGCGTGATTAGTTCTCGTCATCAGAAATTTCTCCGTATAAATTGATAATATCCTCGACCTCACTATTCTTGTTTAGGTGCTGGAGTATTTGGTCTGTCATTCATTGTACCATAATGTTCAACTGATGAAGCATGACCTATTTTATGCTACATGCTAATTGTCGTAAATATTGACGGCCGGAATCATTCCTACTCCATGTATTTTGGAAGCATGATCAGCTCCTATTTTTCTTAATATAAATGAGGTAATTTATGGCGATTTAAGAATTGACTAAGTGGTGCAACATGAGTATTTCCATCCTTATTATCTTTTAACAAGAAGGGAAATTTGTCCAATATTGATCTCTGAATCCAGATGAGTAATTCTCTTGCTCGTATTGGAATTTTTTTCCATTGAGAGGAGTAGTCGGGGCTCCCCCAGTTACCTTTACTTTTTGCAGTACCAAGAATAGTCAGGATTATACCATGACTCACGACTTGGTCTGTATCGATTGATACGAAGATTTTCCGCCGCATACATTATCATTACGTCTATTAGATTTTGCATTAAAGGTATTACATTCGTTAAGTCTTTCCTGAACTTTTCCAGGTAAAAGAACTTGGGACAATCGTAATGATTAATTCACGAAGTGCTGAGTATTATATTCATAATAACAATCATTAGAGTTCATCATCGAAAAAGTAAGCCATATGACATTTACTATAAATATTTTTGACTTTGTATTTTCAATTATATTACAACGACAAGACAGCTATACGTTGATGTGCTCAACACGCTCATGTATCCATCTTTTCATCGGTTGAACGCGAGATGTATTGATTGATATATTATTTATTTATTTAGCATTTGCATTAGGTATGAAATGAACCACAGTAACGGTTGCATTTAACGGTAAATACATTGTTGCAGACTCCTCAACTTCTGATTTCACAATTTCTGTCCTATACTATTGCTCACATATCGTTTATATTATCCTTTACATCGTTATTTCCAATGATTACACCAATGGCCATCATTAAAAATGACATAATAATAGACCAGATACCGATAACAATGTCTATCCACAGAGGCCGTTTAGGAAGGTAATAGCGTTTAACTGAAGATGCATTTTCGTAGTGTGTGTCGAGGTATATGTAATAGGCATATATAGGGTAGCTGATTATATAGCAGAACTGGAAAACAAGGAATCTAAGAAAACGGAGCGACACAAGACGATTAGTATAAGAATATAGTTAAATCAGCAACCCAAGCACACCCATCATTCTTGAGGAAAGTAAATATGCTTAACAGGATTAGCGAAATGATAAATTTTCAAATTAGGAGTATGATTATCCCGACTTCTCCGTGAAGATAATGATGTCGAGTATAATCATCGTGTATCAATACGACTATGCAACCCCATCGTAGCCTCAAAACTAATACTTACGCCTTTAAACTTTGCAAAAACCATGTAGCAAGTATATTACCGCCGGTGTGTACAATGCTTGCAAATATTAACGGTATCAGTTGTTTTGGATGTTCGATTGTAGTCGGGAAGAGACCATGTTTTACGTCATCGGTGTCTTCAACAAGAACGAGTGGAATGGTATCGGATGCGTAATTTCTCACATACTTTCGCGTGTTAACGTAGATAATTATGAAGACCGTTGGAAGCGCAAAATCAGAGCAAAGGCCTATTGACAAAGTCATTGAGGCCGAGTTAGTCGATTTTAGTATCATTCGATCTAACAAAATCTGGATTTGTTTTCTTTACTTCTTACCTTGCCATTTAAAGATTATTGCGTCATAGGGCCATGGCAAGAACACACCCAAAGCAACGACGATAAATATATATGCAAACAAGATAATAAAGAACCATTGGTTCTTGACCCTTCCTCCCATAAATAACAATAACAGAATCGCAACCTCCCATGCATTATGCAAAACACCGAACGTTAACCACAACTTCCCGAGATCAAACACTAGAAATGCCGTTCCCGCAAAATGAGTAAATAATATGTAATAAGCTAGCAGACGATTAAATAAAGTCGTCGGGGTTACATGAGAGCCATCGTAGAAGGAAGTGACGCATTTAGCGGGTATATGATAGGACGGATTTGTCCATATTATAGAAAGAAACCCAGCAATGCCGCCCACTAAAACAGAGAAGCCTGCGGCAGCATCCAAGACGAAAGGATCGAAACCTTGAAAAATAGGAATTATGATGAGGAAGTTGTTAATTGAATTGATATGGAGGCGTAATTTCCGACATATTCTTTCCCTACCTTGCCATGTCCCATGCCAAGCGGGATATCCTGTAAATCTAGACTTGTCCTGAGCAGGAATGCTGCCATCCTTGGGTCGAGGAAAGAATATTAGAACAGTGCCCAATACTGCTAGAGAGACAATTACAGCGGAGCTGCCTTTAAATCTCGTCATAATCGTTGATCGAGCAAAAAAGATTCTGTTTGTACTTGTGGTCGAGAATTTTATATCAACACTGCCATTCTATTCGTTATTTGATATCATGAATCTGTGACACTAACATGCCCCGATATAAAGTTTCGCTGCAGGTTGTTGATCTTATCAAATTTATGTTTAGATTATCAAAATGGGTGACAAAACCGGTAAACAAAACCTCATTGTAATATCAATACTATCAACGGTTAGCATTACGATAGCGATAAACGAAAGACATTGTAATTAGTATGGGACATAATTTGTTTATTAAACCACGGTGGTAAGAACGATAGTGACCGAATTCCTGCCGAACTGATGATTTGTAATTTTAAACGGGTAAATCCAGTTATGGATATTGGGCTAAAGTTTGTAGAACAGTCAAAAAGTTGAGGTCACATGATGATAGATGCACAAAACAAGGTGCGGTCTTGTCTTAGAGACAATCATCTTCACGATGTTGGCTTAACTAGAAGCAGTAAACTCTTCATTATCTACGGACAAAAGATCTTGCAGATTTGTCTTGCTTTCATTTTACGTCAGTGACTGATATGATCGATTTTTCCGAAAAGCTTGGCATCCTTAACCGATTTGGAAATGCAAGATGTGGGGTTGGCAAAAAAGAAGATCGAGTGACCTTCATTGCAAATTCGGCACTATCGTAGACCCGATCCGATCCGATCCGACCTGTCCCTCTAACACCCGAACTGCGAGAGATTATAGTGGGGTACTGTACATGATTTTCATAGATATTAATGTCAGTGTTGTCTGTCTGCATTAATAGTAACTTGTTTAAATTTACAATTCTCCTCTTGTTATATAACATATTATTATTGACCCGCTTCGGAGAGGAGAGCGTTTGTAGAAAACAATACATGCTCGCGTTAGACAAATGTCTTTATAAGCATACGCGTGTCGCGTCGGATAATAATCTGTGATTGTATTATATGGCAAGATGAACGCACCATTGTCTATTGTACGCATTCCTTGTAGGATAACATTATTGCTACTCCGACGAGTAAAAGTCACGCGCGTACCTGAAAACTAATTGTCTCATAAATAACGAAAGTTCAGCATGTACACAGAAATTTTGTTGAATCTCATGTCATATCAATAAGAATGCCACGTAAAACATGATAACAACGCCACCTTAACGAAATCACAAAGCATCTGTCCGACACAGCAATGTCAAAATTTTAAGCCGTTAGCATATTAGGTATTAAGAGAACGAAAAGAATTTTCCAAGTATAAAACCATGATGCGACGGGAACAAAGTGCGGTTTGACTAGAATCACGTGTTCAGCGGTACTTCACTGTACAGTGGCCTGCCAAAATTTTACGACCACCCGTGCCGATCATCACATTTATTATGAGTAGAAGCGATTTTCTAT